TGCTCATGTTACTTATTTTCGTGATCAATTGATTGCCGTTTCATCACAATCTATTATCAACCGGTTAATTAATAATAATGTGATAAAGAGAAATTCCGTCACGCTTTTATATATTGCTATTATCTGTTACATAAAGATCGCGTAAAAAAAATGGCTTTTGTTAATGCTAACAACATAGAACAAATCGTCGAAAGCAATTCGATCAATTATATCGAAGAATCAGCAGGACCAGAAGCGATTTATAACAAACGCGAAACACGCAATGCTGTTATCAACGATGATAAACAAGATCAGAATCTTGAAAAAATAGTTAAACAAAGCATCAGAAAATCTAGACCAAGAAAAGAAGTTGATGAACAAGATCCCGCAAAATCATTTTTAGAAAAATGGGTATGCATCTCTTATATTAACGATATACGCGCATACACATACGTGTAGTGTAGCAGTAAGTTAGTTTTAAATGCTTTTTTAATTGTTATAGAAATTTAAAGATCCGGGAATATGTTGTGTGTGTCTTGAGGGTGCAACTGATGTAGGAAATATGTTGGTGTATTGTGATGGACAGAAATGCGAGGTTATATGTCATCAAGGTATTATCTAATCGAAGAATACCAAGGTAGTGTTACTTATCATTTCTAATATATTTTCTCCTTATTTTTAGAATGTCATGGTATAAAAAACTTACCTTCTACAGATGATCCTTGGTATTGTGACAAATGTCTTGCAAAACCATCTGAAGTGGTGGTATGTTCAAAAAAATTTTTTATGTTATCATCATTGTTGTCATTAATCAAAATATAGACTTTATTTTTTTGAATAAATTTGTAGTCATGTATTTTATGTCCGAAAAAAACTGGAGCATTTCGCCGATTACATGAAGAAGATGATTTCAAAACGAATTCATGGGTTCATTTGGTTTGTGCTTTATGGATGCCAGGAATGTGGATAGCCAATACTCAAGGATTAAATGAGTGCTCTATCATTAGTGTTGAAAAGACAAATTGGATAAAGGTAAACAAATTAATCTTATTATCATCATGTTATAATAATAATCATCAAATCATAAGTTTTTACATTATTGTTATTGTTTTTATTAATCATTTGTATTTATTTAGGATTGTTGTATATGTCCTAAAGAACTTGCTAGTCAAGGTGCGACTGTTCATTGTGATGCAGGCGGCTGTAAAAATTGGATACATGTAACTTGTGCTCAATCTTATAATCTTTTGGAATATGAGGATGATTCTGAAATGTCAGATCCTTATTTTGTTGTAAGTTGCTTATTAATTAATTTATAATTTGGAACTTCATTTTTTTATAGGTATGATTGATTGATTAATATCATTAAATAATAATTATATCATATGTAAATACAACAGTATTGTAAAGAACATTGTTCACAAGCTGGCACTGTTCGTTTAAATGAATGGGAAAGGTGGATTTTAAAACGTGATAAATTTTTAGACAATGTTAGGTCTGAAGAGTTACAAAAAAGAAACAATAAACTCACAAGTGAGTTAATAGATCAAGGAAAAATACTCAGGGAAATTTTTGAAGATAATTATTCTGAATACCAGAAACGTCGAGAAAAACAAATAGTCAAACTTAGAAAAAACGTTGCTCAGCTATATTCAGAGTATAAAGGAGATAAGGACAAGATAAGTAGAGGGGAGGAGCAAATTGAATCCTTGGAACAAAAAAAAAGGACTGTAAAATCAGAAACAATCGAATTAGCAAATTATTTAAACAGATTAAGATTTAGAGTAAAAGCTTTTGTTGAAAAGATGATTAAAAAAGATGCAGATGATAGCAATATCATTAATAATAATGTTGAGATAAAACAATATACTGAATGCTCAACTTACAAAGAAGCAGAAAGACAAATAAGAGATGGATTAATAGAAAAGTCAATGATTGAAATTCAACGATTATTGGCTAAATTGCCAAATTCAATATCAGATTGGAATAATAATAATGTGGAAGAAGCAAAAACAATTAATATTAAAAAGTTAGATATTGAAGAAATTGAAACATTAGGATTAGATAATGCTCAAAAAATTCTTGTTCAAAGACAAAAGGAACGTAAACAAAAAGGTAAAAAGGGTAAAAAAACTACAACAACCGCTACTAATAATGGCAAAAGTAAAACACCCAAGAAAAATCTTAAGGTTTCAAGAACTACTTCAACATCTTCAAATAATGGATCTGAAGCATTTGATACACCATCAAGAGTAATGTCAATAACTAATGTTTTAATTAACGATGATGATGATAATAATAATAACTGTGACAATGTCATTAATTTTGATAATAATAATGATATTGACACTATGATGGGTATTGATGAGAATAATACCAATAGTAAAAAAAGTAGAAATAACAGTTATATTAATGGTGTTGATAATGATTCTATTGGTGAAGATAATAATAACATTGGTGGCAGTAGCAGTAATAATAATAATAATAATAATAACAATAATAATAATAATAATAATAATAATAATAATAATAATAATAATAATAACAACAACAGCACCAATATAAAAACTCAACTATCCTCCTCAACAAATTCAACATCAAAAATAATAGACGAACTAACTAATCAATTGAAAAAGGCATATAATACTGGCATGGTACCATTTCCTGCATCTATGTCTTGCAAAACCATCTGAAGTGGTGGTATGTTAAATAAATAAACAAACCATTGTTATCATAATCATAATAAAGAATCTATTGACTGATAATTTTTTTTTTATAAATTTTATAGTCATGTATTTTATGTCCAAAAAAAACTGGAGCATTTCGTAGATTGCAGGAAGAAGAAGGCTTCAAAACAGATGCGTGGGTCCATTTAGTTTGTGCCTTATGGATGCCAGGAATGTGGATAGCCAATACTCAAGGATTAAATGAGTGCTCTATCATTAGTGTTGAAAAGACAAATTGGATAAAGGTAAACAAATTAATCTTATTATCATCATGTTATAATAATAATCATCAAATCATAAGTTTTTACATTATTGTTATTGTTTTTATTAATCATTTGTATTTATTTAGGATTGTTGTATATGTCCTAAAGAACTTGCTAGTCAAGGTGCGACTGTTCATTGTGATGCAGGCGGCTGTAAAAATTGGATACATGTAACTTGTGCTCAATCTTATAATCTTTTGGAATATGAGGATGATTCTGAAATGTCAGATCCTTATTTTGTTGTAAGTTGCTTATTAATTAATTTATAATTTGGAACTTCATTTTTTTATAGGTATGATTGATTGATTAATATCATTAAATAATAATTATATCATATGTAAATACAACAGTATTGTAAAGAACATTGTTCACAAGCTGGCACTGTTCGTTTAAATGAATGGGAAAGGTGGATTTTAAAACGTGATAAATTTTTAGACAATGTTAGGTCTGAAGAGTTACAAAAAAGAAACAATAAACTCACAAGTGAGTTAATAGATCAAGGAAAAATACTCAGGGAAATTTTTGAAGATAATTATTCTGAATACCAGAAACGTCGAGAAAAACAAATAGTCAAACTTAGAAAAAACGTTGCTCAGCTATATTCAGAGTATAAAGGAGATAAGGACAAGATAAGTAGAGGGGAGGAGCAAATTGAATCCTTGGAACAAAAAAAAAGGACTGTAAAATCAGAAACAATCGAATTAGCAAATTATTTAAACAGATTAAGATTTAGAGTAAAAGCTTTTGTTGAAAAGATGATTAAAAAAGATGCAGATGATAGCAATATCATTAATAATAATGTTGAGATAAAACAATATACTGAATGCTCAACTTACAAAGAAGCAGAAAGACAAATAAGAGATGGATTAATAGAAAAGTCAATGATTGAAATTCAACGATTATTGGCTAAATTGCCAAATTCAATATCAGATTGGAATAATAATAATGTGGAAGAAGCAAAAACAATTAATATTAAAAAGTTAGATATTGAAGAAATTGAAACATTAGGATTAGATAATGCTCAAAAAATTCTTGTTCAAAGACAAAAGGAACGTAAACAAAAAGGTAAAAAGGGTAAAAAAACTACAACAACCGCTACTAATAATGGCAAAAGTAAAACACCCAAGAAAAATCTTAAGGTTTCAAGAACTACTTCAACATCTTCAAATAATGGATCTGAAGCATTTGATACACCATCAAGAGTAATGTCAATAACTAATGTTTTAATTAACGATGATGATGATAATAATAATAACTGTGACAATGTCATTAATTTTGATAATAATAATGATATTGACACTATGATGGGTATTGATGAGAATAATACCAATAGTAAAAAAAGTAGAAATAACAGTTATATTAATGGTGTTGATAATGATTCTATTGGTGAAGATAATAATAACATTGGTGGCAGTAGCAGTAATAATAATAATAATAATAATAACAATAATAATAATAATAATAATAATAATAATAATAATAATAATAATAATAACAACAACAGCACCAATATAAAAACTCAACTATCCTCCTCAACAAATTCAACATCAAAAATAATAGACGAACTAACTAATCAATTGAAAAAGGCATATAATACTGGCATGGTACCATTTCCTGCATCTAGAAAGAATATATCGGATTTAATCAACTTACCTGAAAATAATAATTCAACAATAATAACAACAACTTCAAGAATGAGTGCATCATCACCATCGTCATATTTAAGAAGAAGAGATTATAATAGTGAAGAAGAAGATGAAGAGGATGAAGAGGACGAGGATTATGATTATGATTATGATGAGGATTATGAGGATGAACCTAAGAAAAAATCCAATAGGAAGAATAGTAAAAACAAGAAAAAGAATAGTTCTGAAATATTTAAAGATACATATGATTATTATAGTAACAAAAAAGTTAGAAATGATGATGATGAATATTATAATAGTCATAGTGGTAATATTAATGGTAATAAGAATAGATCAAAGATTATTTATGGTAGTATAATTAGTGGAACTATAGAAAATACTATTTTTAGTGGTAGTAGTAATCACAGTAATAGGAATGTTAGGAAAAGATCTCAAAAGAAACCATTAATGAGAAAAAGAAAGAAAAATGGAAATAGTTCTGACTCTTCACAACAACAATACAGTAAAAAGGGCGAAGGATCAAGAAATGGGAATTCTAATAAGAACAAAAGGCCAAAAACATTAATTAAAGATAGCTCTAAATATTATCTTAATCATAATGATAGAATAAATGATGACGATGACGATGACGATGACGACGATGACGATGATGATGATTCAATAAATTTAGAACTACCAAGTAGATATCCTCAACCTATATGTTTCAAATGTGATAGGATTGAACCTCCGGATGATTATCAGCCACCTTCATATGTTAAAAATACAAAAGCTAGCAATTTAATGTTAGAAAAGAAAGGTAGAGATACAGTTAATAGAATGATTAGGTGTAATTTCTGTACAAAATGGTATCATCTAGCTTGTATGAATCCGCCAAGAAAAACGATGCCTATCGGGTAAGTTTATATACAACATACATTACATATGTTGTTTGTATGAATGTATGTATACGTTTTATTTTATATATGTATTAATAACAATTTCTTTTTTAGCGGATATATTTGGAGATGTGAGGAGTGTGACCCAACTGATCCAGATGGCAATTCTACAAATATAATTGACCCACTTGATGAATTTATTATTAAAGATAAACAAGAAAAAGAGAAAAAAGTTGAAGTGAAACAAGAAGAAGAAGATGATGATGATGATGGTACTCCTAAAGCTCCAAAAAAATGGAAATTTAGGGCAAAAGCAAAAGTTTCATATTCATAAGAAAAATTATTTTTATAAATGATTTTTTGGTTTTTTTTATATTATTATTATTATTATTTTAATAATTTATAAATATATATATATATATATATTAGAATTATATATGTATATTTTTGCATATACGAAAAAAGATTTTTTTTGCTTCAAGTTTAAATAATAGAATTAATAATAATAATAATAATAATAATAAAATAACAATAATGATAAAGTTTTTAATTGTTATTAATTTTATTATGCCTATCTAAAAATGTGAGTGAATTAGAGATAAATGCTGGAATGATACTAACAACAACAATAATAAATTTTCTCACTTATACCAACAAATTATTACCTTTTCCCTTTCCCTCTCACTATGCCTATACTTTTGCCTTTTATGTTCTTTTTTATATCATCACTTTTGCCATCATCATCATCATCATCTGTTTGTGTACCAAATTCATATTGAACTTTGAATAATTTTTGATAAACAACTTTATTATTGTATTCTTTAAGCATTTCACCGTACAACAATAAATTGTCTTCGACATATGAGAAGAATACTCCTCTTAAGATTGTTAACTGTTGTGATAAGAAATAATATATTAATAATATTAATTAAAATGATTAACAAAATTATTGATTAAAATAACCTGAGTTATGATAAATAAAGCTGTTGGAATAAGGTATCCCCAATTATCTTTATCGCACATTTGTAAACAGATGACTTGAGGCGGAGAAAAATAACTAGAATTTCAATAAGTATAGATTGATAAATCATAATAATACAATACATTTAAAATGAGAGAATATTATAAATCAATGAATAAAAATTTACCAGAATAAATCTAAAGAGAAAATTGGTGGATCCCATTGTCTTAATACCCAAACAAATTCAGTATTATCTGCTTCAACTTTACTCTTAAAAATCTGTTGATATAATGGATAACTATACATAAATAAATTACATATATATTATATAATTCATTATATTAATGTTGTTGTTAATATCATTAATATTACTGCTATTTATTAATACTAACAAAATGCTTCCAGGAAATTTAGTTGACCATTCCGGTTGTTCTAAATTCAACTCTTCAATAACTACATTCATACTTTGAGGTTGTGACTTTTTTTAAAATAAAATAAATTGGTTGATTATTTTATACAAAAAAAATTTGGAATATAATTCTACTTACATTTAAATCATGATCAAATAGTTGATACTTTTTAGTTTTTGTAGGAATATATATTGAACTGATTATACTAATAAATAACAATGCCCATTCAATAAATGATATCTACATTATATAATAAATGCATAAGTATATTGCAATTATAAAAAAATGCTATATTTATTAAACTTACTTGAATTTGTGAAAATATTTTAGATCCAAAAATTATGTAAACATAATCTTTTTCATCCAAGATATATTCTAATCTTAAATATATTGTAATTACATTTAATATAATTCCTATTAACAAACTGATATTAACGTATTTGTTAATATTTTTATAATGATATGGAAAAAATAAATATATATATATAATATATGTATTTACGCAAGAACATGCTGTATTTTATCCCAATCTCTTATAGCCAAGTCTTCTTGGAAATGTATCATAAAGTTGATTGGATAATATATAATACGCTCCCAAACGCTAACATGTCTAACCAACCTTCTTCTATTAGTAGTCAACGACATTGCATATCAAGTGTCATTCATAATAATGTGTAACACTAAAATTTATCAATCTTAAAAAAATTTCGGCATGTTCGCAAACAACTTCTCTATATTAAACAAAAACAAAAAATATAAAGCTATTCCAGAACTTTCAAACGACTATTAAAATAAGAGGCGAGCTTAAATTTTGATTATTCTACGATAGGTTAAAAGTATTGCTTTCGTTGGCACTCATCTCAAGGTTTTCTTACAACTGGAAGCAAAAAACATGTGAATAGGAACTAGAAGACTAGATGAAAAAAATTTTGACTTGAAAGAATCGAAATTCTAGTTGATAATAAGATATTTATTTCAAAAGTCATTATATGTTAAATGCGTCCAGAGCTATTCAAATTGTATATTAGAGTAAGTATATTGACAACATACATATTATTAAATAATTTATTATTGATTCAACAATTGTGTTATTATATGTGAACTTTGGCAAAATGGTAGGTGAAGTAAGATGCAATGTATTATAAATTAACTTGTAAACTAATCAAACCTTTCAATTGACTGTTTATTTAAATTTCTAGAACATGACGGGTAGTTGTCTATTTGAATGATGAGGGTGTTTTTTTATCCAGTTAAAATAGTGTATTTAATGAAATAGTAATTCAAAGAAGAGGCAGATAAAAATTTTATTATCATTTAATTAATTATTATTTGTTTTTTTTAAAAAATTTCAGAATACTGGTTTATATTGTATTCAGAATAATCTGATAAAGAATCATAATTGAATATCATAAATAAGTTACAAAAGATTCAAGTAACCTTTTTTATATATGGAATAAGATGTGTATGACCAGAAGAAGTGAAAGCATCATTAAAAGAATTTGAGTAATTATTTATATATTTTTTGTCAATAAATTTCAAAGAATTTATATATTAATTAAAATGATAACAAATGTTATATCTTATAGTAAATAATTTTTAAATTGTCAATTTTGGGGAATTGTTACCAAACTTAAATCTTTCTAAACTCCATTTTTGGAGATATCATATTATTGATTCCATAGGATTATTTGGTTCCATATATGGCTTCAGAACTAATACATTTGAATACTTCATAAATTTTTTGTAAAGAGTCTTATAGAATGTCAAATAAAAAAGAATACCTCTCAGCAAATGTTAAATATGGTATATTAATTCAATCTTATTTTGATAAAGAAATATTGTTCTATTTAAATAATATGTTATATAGATAAGAAAAAAAATCATATTGGATTTCATCTATTAAAAAATCAAATGATTGTTTAAAATTAAATTCTGGAATTCAAATTGGTTAAAATCAAAGGTATTTTACTAATTTGGATGGATTGAGAAATCTATTGGATTCATATTTAGAAGTTGTTGATGATGAGAATATAATTAAAGCATTTACATATTTTAAATCAATATGTCAGACTATTAATTTATGGTATTGGTGAGCCATTTTTTACAAGTACAGTAATAGACATGGATGATGATGAAGCTAAAGAGTATACAATTAATAATGGTTTATGTTATGCAAAGATATTTGTTAATAAAAAAGAAAGTTTTCTAAATCTGATATTATTTATAATGTAGGTTTTACTACAGTTACAATTCAATTAATATTAATAATACCATTAGTTAAATGGTATGATTGAGAACTTCAAAAAAAAATTTTTGAAATTCTTCAAACAACTTAATACCCATAAACATGATAAATTTATATTTTAATCATTATTATCAAATATGTTCCTGTGCAATTAATTTTTAAATGCGTGTATGACTTTTATCCATGTATAAAAGATGGGTTTTACCAAGTACCTCAATTATATATAACAATCAGGAAAAAGTAATTACAACATATTTATTTATTACTTTGTTAAAAAAATAATATTGATCTCCATAATCACCATTATCATCATCTCAACATCACTATTAACATCATCTTATAATTATGATAACAATGATTAAGATAATTATGATAATGGTGGTAATGGTTATAATTATTATTAACCACACACTATGTTGTTGCTGTCGTTGTAGTAGTTGTGTTTTGTCTTTGTCGTGATGACAGTTTTTAGACGCGAAAATCACGTGATTTGTACACTAACATTAATCTATACTTGAAGCCTTACTTAAAACTATTTATAAATGAGTGGAGTATTATGGATCCCTTTATTATTGGTATGAAGTGTGGCCGATGAAGATGATCTTAATGATTCTGCAATTGATGTTGTTCCTGACATCATATATTACGATAATAACAAAAGATTCATATCAAATAATGACGCGTCTTTTACCAAACAAGGCACAGCAAATAAAATTGTTAAAATAATTATTCCCTGAATACATTAAAAAAAAAATTTTGTATTATTTAAATACGTGAGATAATAATCCATGGGTAATTAGTGCTAGAAGAAAATATTCAAAGACATATCTGATATTATTATACAAGATAAAATTCTTTAGAATTAATAAAATTAATAATCGATATTGTTACACTAAACATGATTTATAACATTACAATTTTACATACACTTATCAGTCAAATCATCATCTCATACAAATTTTTTTTGAACTCTCACTTTTTTCATCATAAAACAATATTACTAAATATATATAAATAAATATAATAAATATATTTATGCCAACTTGCTACTATTTAATAAACTACTATTAAACAAAAAACATCTATAGACTGCCTAAAACAAAATCTAATTCTATAATCGATTTATTTATTATTGACTACAATTATTTGTATGTATATTATTATTTTTATTATAAAAAAAACAAAAAGAAACGAAATGAGTGAAATTGAAAAAAATTATATATATTAATTTACAATAACAAAAGTGTGTATATATATACATTTTACAACAAAACATAATATATACAATATTATTAATGATGATGATAACCTCCTTACTGCCTCAATAATTCCTACATTTAACAACTTCTTTTGTTGTACTTGGATTGTTTAAAAATTTTATTTTCAGCTACAAATTACACATTCCAAAACATATATCCAAAACAATCATTATGACAATCATTATCATCATTGTTATTATTAAAACAACCATTCCTTCGTATTTCTTTGCTAACTTTTCTTTTTTTTCACAAATCTGATCTTTATTACAAAACTTGTTATCAGAGTCGGAAACGTATATTTCGTCATCAACATCATCAACATCAACATCAACATTAACAAAATTGTTTATATATATAACTTTTATATATGATAATAATAAATTATGAATGAGTCTCCTGAGATAGACATTAACTCGGTTATTGATAGGCTACTTGATGGTAACTTTTTTAGTATCAACAAATATTTATATATGTGTGTGTGTAAATTGTATGATGAGATTAATTAAATTTGTAAAATTTTGTATTTTTATTTTTAATAGTAAGAGGTTGTCGGCCTGGTAAACAAGTACAATTAGCAGAATTTGAAATTAAATATTTGTGTACAAAAGCAAGAGAAATTTTTATTTCTCAACCAATACTTCTTGAACTTGAAGCACCAATAAAGATTTGTGGTACGCTATATTATCATTAATACAATTATTATAATTAAAGTTATTTTATTAACATATAAACATATTTATTATTATCATATTTTTTATATAGGTGATATACACGGACAATATTATGATTTGTTAAGGTTATTTGAATATGGGGGATTTCCACCCGAAGCAAATTATCTATTTCTCGGAGATTATGTTGACAGAGGAAAACAATCATTAGAAACGATTTGTCTTTTATTGGCATATAAAATAAAATATCCAGAAAACTTTTTTATTCTACGTGGGAATCACGAATGTGCAAGCATTAATCGTATTTATGGATTTTATGATGAATGTAAAAGAAGATATAATATTAAATTGTGGAAAACATTTACAGATTGTTTTAATTGTTTACCAATTGCTGCAATAATTGATGAAAAGATATTTACTATGCACGGTGGTTTATCTCCCGATCTCCAAAACATGGAACAAATTCGTAGAGTTATGCGACCTACAGACGTACCAGATACAGGTATATTAAATAAATAATCTTGATGATTTGAATTTTTGTTGTTACTGTTGAATAATAATACGTTTAATTCTATTCCTTTTTTTTTTTAGGTTTACTGTGCGATTTATTATGGTCAGATCCGGAAAAAGATACCACCGGATGGAGCGAAAATGACAGAGGAGTATCATTTACATTTGGACAGGATGTAGTTGGTAGATTTTTACAAAAACATGACATGGATTTGATATGTAGAGCACATCAAGTGGTAGAAGATGGATATGAATTTTTTGCCAAAAGACAACTTGTTACACTATTTTCTGCGCCTAATTATTGTGGCGAGTTTGATAACGCAGGTGCAATGATGAGTGTGGACGAGACTCTTATGTGTTCATTTCAGGTATACATTTATTAATTTTATATAATAATGAAAATTAAGAGTTATAATAAATAATAACGTTACTGTTTTTGTTTTTTATAGATTTTGAAACCAGCAGAGAAAAAAAAATATGCTTATGGTAATGTGAACACAGGAGGAAGAACAATCACACCATCACGCAATAATAGTAATAAGAAAAAGAAAGAAATGGCGAAAGTTACATAAATTTTATTCTGTAGAAATTAACAACAAAAAATAAAAGTTGTAAAGAAAAGAGGTGAAAGGTGAAGAAAGGTGAAAAGAGGAGAGAAAAAAGAGTTAACAAATCAATTACAATAAACCATTTTTTTTATACAAGTTGAATTTTTTTTTATTGCTTTTTTACTGTTTTTTTTTTTTACTTTTTTATTACCACCACCACCACCACCATTACTATTATTACTAATACTATTATATATGGAGTTTTTTTTAATTGAAATAATAACAATTTTTTTTTTCTAAAATTTTAACATTTTGCAAAATAGAAATAAATAAGTTGTACTATTATATTACTATTATTTTTAATATATTAAGATGTTAAGATATTAAGATGAATTATATAACTATGGAATTTTAAAATTTAAATTTAAAAATTTCTTGTGTATATTAATTAATATATCAATAATGACTTGTAACATTTATTTTATTTTAGTTTATTTTTCTTTAATATCTAATAAAAAAAAAACTTTTTGTTCATGACGAAATATTTTACGCGTTTAATATTAATATTAATAATATTAAATGGATAATGTCACATGTAAAATTTTTTTTTATTCTTACGCGTAGTAAGTAAATCATTTTTTAAGAATCTATTGTATATAAATTTGGGAATTATTAAAAAAAATTTTTTAAGTGATCACCTTTGATAAAAGAGAGAATGGTGAATGTTAGAAACTAAAATTGGGATTCAAAAGATTTTTTTTTAATGAATTAATCATATTTAGAATATTATTGTAAGAACTTGTTATTTGTTATTCATAATTTATCATGTTTCATAATATTTTGTAATCAAAGAACTCTTAGCGTAAGTCTAAAAATTTTTCGATCCAATCCCAATTCAAAATCCAAATCATTTAATCCAATCAATTAATGGTGTAGCTTTAAATTAAAAAAATTATAATTAATTAATTAAATTAAATTTAAACAATAATAGGAATTGAAAATCGTATTGTTCTTTTTTAAAAAACATAGTAATAAATAGTACACAAATAAAGATTATCCACGAATAAATTTTTTCGTTTCATGTAAATCCCAATTTGCATGCTAATACAGTTATAATAATTTTATTTTTAATTCACGATTCCGGATTTCTAGTATTGCTTTTTTTTTTATTTTATTGCTGTAAATGGCTTGGTTGTTGTTGTTAATTGATAATTGGTTATTTATTTATCCTTTTTGTACACACATACATACACATTACATTACATATATTGATTTAGTAGATGAAGCAAAAAAGTGTTTATAGAAAAAAAAAATGCACGAGCTTCGTTACATTAACGTAAATTTTTTTCTTTCTATCCCATCATACATTAAACGACACTTATGTGATAATTAATTAATTAATATCCGGTTCGATAAAGAATAAAACTCTATGAACTCAAAAGTAGGTAAGATTAAAAAAAATAAAGGTCATTATATATTATTAATTAATGTTTAAACAAAACAAACACAATTTTCACTTGAAAAAATACTTTTAATTTCTCTGGCAAAAATCTGAATTTTCAAACTTTATTGATTGGCAAAATCAAAATCGAAAAGATAATATATATATATATATAAAATAATATATAAAAAAATAATAAAATATAAAAAATAAAAATATAAAATAAGATATAATAAAATAAAATATAATAAAAAATAAGATAAAAAAAAAAAATAGAAATAAATTTGGCAAATCAAAAAAAAGTGGCGGCAATTGGCAAACGAAATATAAAAAAAAAATAAAAAAAAATGGCAAACTATATTTTTTAGTGGCAAAATCTGAATATTAAAAAAAATCGTGACAAACAAAAAAAGTGGCAAAATCTGAATATGTTTTCGTGAACAGTTTAAAAAAATCGTGAAATATCGAAAGAAAAAAGAAAAAAAAAGCATAAAAAAATTTGGCATTGGCAAATGGCAAAATGGCGAACTAGTAGAACTTAAAAAAAGAAATCACAAACACAAACAAAAAATTTCGAAGTTAAACGAATATAAAAAAAAAAAATTTTGAGGAAATCACAAACACAAACAAAAAATTTCGAAATTGTAAAAAAAAATTAATAAAAATACGTAATATGAAAAAAAAAATTTGAAAGTTGTGGTGGTAGTGTGGTTGATTGATATTTTTTTTCGCATACACAAAAAATCGAATTTTTTTTTTTTTAAAAAAAATGTATGTTATCTTAATGTTTGACTGATTCAATGTTGTCAATAAAATCTTGTACACTTGCATCGTTCACTCCAAAAAGAGAAAAGTTGAAAGTTGAAATAATCCAAGAAAGTTGCACAAACATTAAGTGTGATTTTGTTTTGATTTTTTTAAAAAGGTAATATCACCACCCACCCACAAACAATACAAAAACGGGTTAAATCCAAAAACAAAATGGCTGCACAGGAAAAAAATGGAAAGGCGCCATGCTGCAAAATGAAAAAGAAACCTAGCTCCGTGTGCCGAAGCGATACTTCGTCAGAGAATACAGTTGCACCGTGTACCGAGCTTTGTCGCTTCATCATAAAACCAGAAAATTAATTAATTATATATTGGTTTCGTATTCTTGATCGTGTAAAGATTTGTTGTTCACTATACTATTTTTAGAGGTCATATTTTTTTTTATATTTTTTTTTGTAGTGTATAGTATTATATTATATATATAATTAATAGAGAACGCAATTTTCCAGTAGTACTTAGGCTTGGACTCATTGGCAGTGACCTGCGGTCGATTGCTCCTTAGGAATCGCCTCCTTGACAGTGACCAGCTTCAATAATCTCTAATTCGTCTTGGAGTGTCGCTTTCCACTTGTTTGATGTGTAAACAAATTGGTTAAAAAACTTAAACTGTCATGTACTGTGTGTGCGTGAATGCGCGTGTGAAACTTTTTTAAAATTATTTTTCACTAACGCTTTTAACTTTTTATATATTGGTGAAGCGAGAGAGGTGTGAAGTGGTTGTTGTTGTTATTGCATATATTGATGGTGTTATGGTGTGGAGTGATATATTTATGGCGTGGTGATTGAGGAATATGGTTTTGAAGTGATATATCATATATTATATATAACATGATATAAAGGAGTTTTTTTTTTAATGTATATCATAAATTATATATAATGTATGATATAATGATATTCATTAAAATGATATGATGTTTTGTTATATTATCTTCGAGATAATTTTTCATTATCGAATATATTGACCGTTGTTGTTATTACAAACCGAATAAATTTTTAGCTAGTTTTTATATAATTTATAGGGTATACTCGAAAATTGTTGTAGTTGTTGTTGTTGTTGTTGTTGTTGTTGCTGTTGTTGTTGGTAATAAACTTTCAATGAAAAAACAAACACAAAGTGAAAAGACTTGGAAGTGAAAGGTCGTGACGTTATAATTCGTTATGTTGTTGAGAGAAATTTAGTTCTTTCTTTCTAAAAAAAAACTTTTTCTCAAAGTCATTAATTATCATTGGCACTAATGTAGTGACGTGCTACTACTTCATACTTTTGTTTATATATTTAGTAGTGTAGTAGTTTTGTGAGATGATGTGTGGGAAGAAGGTTGTAAATTAAAAAAAAATATAAAAATTTTTTTTTAAATTTAACCAAAGTGAAAATTAATTAACATCCTGGAATCCCTAATAATAACTTGACAATTGTCCATTATTTGAATAAATTTCATTATAATAAATAATATATATATAAATATATATTATATATAAAAAATAAAAAATATAATAAAAAATAAAATGTTCAAAAAAATTCTTTTGTTTTTTTTTTTGTTAAGTCAAAGGAAGGAAAAAAGGTAGGAATTATATAGGAGTTGGAGAAGTTTTTTGTTTACCAAGATTGGTCAAATATAATTAATTATAGTTACTATAATTATATTTGTGTATGTAATGTATGAGTTGCTAAAGGAAATAAGCTAGTGTCTCCAAGAACCTTGAAATGGTAAGTTGTTCTGATCAGGTTATTTAGAAGATAGCTTAGGTTTATAGATCCCTTTTTTTTTCCATCATCCCTTTAATTAAAATTTTTTTGTGAAAAAAAAAATTTATCAATCTTTGTTTACAGTTACACAATATTAAATTTTTTTTAAGTAAATGGAATTAGATTTAAGTCATAGCATAATATATATATATTTTAATTTTAATTTTAATTTTTTTAATTAATTAATTAATTAAAGTGTGTGTACGCGTGTAACCAAACTTTAATTTTCTTGGGGCTTAAAGTTTTATATTTTTTGGGGGGCGAAGAGATAGTTAGTTAGTGGAGAAAGTTATTATTACCAAATTTGACACATATTTACCCTCCTTTCCTCCCTCAAACACAATTAATTATTCGCTCATTTTAAAAAACATCATTTTTATTTATTAATGCAAAAACAAAAAATTGACATTTTGTTGATCGTTTCACAACAAATAATTTTGTAATGAATGAATGGTGATGAATGAACGGAATACGAAAAAAAAAGACACAATAACAACAATAAATAGCATTGACACATTTATGACGACTTAAATAGTATATCCGAATTAATTTAGATTTTGATCAGACAATTTGACAATTTGGGCGGGAACTCCCACTTTTTTATTCTGGGCGGGTCATTCACTCCAATGGATTTAATGCACACAAAATACAACACCAATTAAATCACTTTTATTGTTACACACGCGCATATACCAAAATAGAATAATTAGAATTAGAAATAATTAGTCACTATTCCCCGCCCCTTTCCTTTTTTTATACTATTATTATTTACTTTTTTGTCAAACAAACAGTCCCACCCTTTATTTCCATTTTTAAATTTCTTGTTTCCACTTTTCCTATTTTTAAAACCATTCGACCATTCCATTACCCTCTCTCGCTTTTTACATATATTAATACATATATATATATATATATATACATATATGGCATAATTAAAACATTCAATCATTTAATTAACTATATTCATTTATCATTTATTTTATTTTTTTTTACAATTTTAGGCAAAAGGAGTGTGATATACTTTGGTTATTTGGTCCGCTTTATCAACCTGATAGCGATCCATTCATGGATGACGATGACGACGAAACATTGGTTGGTAGTCCACCAGCTACTTGTTGTCCACCTACTCCAACTTATGATGGCTTCACAAAATCCATCAACGTTAAATCATCATCATCATCATCATCCAATAGTGCCTCTTCTAGTGGTAGCAGTAGCCTTTCTTCATCTCCACCTTCATCTGCCTTTGCATCTCCTCCTTTATCACCAACTACCACCAACATCAATTCCATTCCTAATTCACCAACTGCTTACTTGAAACCAGTTCTTAAAAAACCAGTTGAACACGATCCATTAAAAGATCTGATCTCTTATGCTTGTGAATTAATGTTGCTCAATAACAAAAATGATAAGACTGCTATTGATAATAAATTTTACGAAAAGATTTTCAACAATCGTAATTATGGCCATGGCAGTAAAGCTTATTATTATAATAGTAATGATAAATTGTCATCACCACCCGAGTATTATCATCAGCAGGAACAACAAAAACCAAAAAAGAAAAAATCTATTAGATTTAGTCGTAATTTGGAGCAAGTTCACTACACTCCTACTCATTATTCTATCAGACCACCTCCTGCAAGACGTCGGATGAGCAACCCTTTCTTCATGAAAATGGAAGAAGAATTATACAACAACAACAACAACAACAATAATAATTCTTCTAATCATAGTAATCAAACTGCCGCTATTAATATT